GGGGGGGGGGGGGGGGCTGAAGCGCGTGGATGCGCGTCCGACGCGTCCGCTGCGCGTGGGGCGCGTCTGCGGGCGCGTGGGGGGGCCTTTTTCGGCCGTTTTCGAGGAGCGTCAACATGCTTCTTCTCCGGGTGATTTTTTTGGCATCAAATGTCGGTATTCCTAATATTAGTGATGATGTTGGTACTAGTAGGAGACGTCTTAGGTCTCAATTTGTGGACTTTGGGAGTGATAGTGAAGAATCGCTTAAGTCGAGTTCGTCTAATGAGTCCGGGGGATCCGAGAGTGATGTAAATCCGGATGGAGATGTGGGAGGTGAGGATGACATTCCACGGGAAGATGTCATTGTAGACAAAAGGAGAGGGAAGAAAATAAAACAACTTAATGTGAATTTGGTGGATTTTGATACTTCGTTAACCGAATCTGAATTCTGTATTCTTCGTCAGCTAGTTGGGGCTCCGAGGAATATTGAGATGCTCTTGCCTAAAAAAGGTGAACGATTGTATGCACCTCATGTTGGGTTCTACACCCAATACATCGCATATTTGACATGTACCTCGCAGATTGTGCCTGACTCAACTCTTTTGAAGATATGCGAGGAATTTAGGGTTGGATATAGTCAATTAACTCCGAACGTGATTCTTACGTTCGAAGCGTTTCGACGAAGAATGAGCCAAGTAGGATTACCGATTAGTGTTGAGATGTTCAAGGCCTTGTTTACATTACATCGTTCAAGTGATTTACCCTTCTTCTGCACACATCCTCGGGTTCCTTATAGATTCTTGAAGGGGATTAAATTGAAGTGGGAAAAATGGAGTACTTTATTTTTTTATGTAAGGGCTCCGACGTCCGATGTTCCCCTTGTTTGGAATCTGGTATGCGAATCTTTCAAGATTATGAAGAATATGAAGAAACGGATTAAGGAGTCGAGGTTATGTGCTTTGGAGTTCGATCCGGGTTGTATTATTCCAAAGGGTCAGGCGCCTACATCGTTGCATGTCTACGCATTTTATGCCTCTGTGCCTTATTTTGTCTTGTTTCTGCTATTCTTTTTACCCCTCTGTGAGTAAGTGGTTTTTTTTTTTAGATGGGTGCATTGATTTCGCGGCTCTTCGGAAAAAGGCTACTGGAGGTGCGAAAAGACAAGCAAGGAAGGACCCCTTAAAGCAAGCTAAATCAAGTAGTAGCAAATCTCGTGAAGCGATCCGCGTGGAGGCCCCTCATGTGAGTGAAGATGATCGTAATCATAGTGTTGAGGGGGATGAGCTTGATCGAGTGGTTAATAATGGGAAGGATGAGTTGTTTGAGATCGAGTATGTGCCTGCACCGAAACGGCCTCGAGTGGATCCTGAGGTTTCTCATGTGCCTCCAGGGGGGGCAGCCAAATGCCTGTTCACGTACGGGGTGAACCGAGAGGGGAAAGATTCTTTTTGGGATACTACCGATCATACTATCGCGCTGAGGAAGACCGAGGGTTACGTTGGAGAGTACGACCGAAGTCGGATATCGGGTAAAGGTCGTGCTCATATGCTTTCGTTGGCTGGAGGAGACATGTGTCGGGTAAATATTTGTTTTAAGTTAGTATGTTTTTCGTTTTAAATTATAAT